CTCGATTATTGGTGACGCTGGTGTTTTTTGGGACTACGCCCTCGATTGGTGACGCTGGTATTTTTCAGCAATTACCTTCCCGACATAAATATTCTACACCCACGTAAAGCAAAGCTCCAAAAAAGAATTATTACTGGAAACGAAAAGAAAAGTATTAATTGCATCTAGATTCTGTATACATAAGTCAAGTTCTGTTCCAAAAATTAAGCTCTATGAGAAAACAAAATCATTAGCATCGGCAATTAAAGAAAGAAAAAAAAGAAAAGAAAAACAAGTCCTTCTATTATGTCAACACCCATTCCCAAATTCTAAGTTCCAATCTCTAGTGAAACCTGTGCTTAAAAAAAACATCACTATTAAGTGAAAAAAAAAAAAATTAGCATCAGAAACAAAAAAAAAGAACGACAAAAAACGCTAGCTCGTCCCGATTCGTCGCAATGAGAATTCCGATTCCAAAAGTCAAGACTTATGTAAGAAAGAAAAACAATCAATATATGCAGTAAAAAAAAAAAAAAAATTACCTCCTGCTGATGCCGGTTTTATGCGAAATCTGTGCTCAAGAAAACAAAAACATCAGTTATGTCCCGATTCATTGTCTATAACGATTACAGTTCCAAATGTCAAAACTGTGTAAAGATAAAAAAAATCATAGTACAGTACCAATAAAAAATAAAATAAAAATAAAAATACCTTATGCTAATTTATCGGTGTCAATTTCCAAAATATTAGCCTGATTAAAAAAAAGCATCAATCACATCCCGATTCGTTGTGGATATAACAATTACAGTTCCAAATGTCAAGACCTGCGTGAAATAAAATATCATAAAAAAAACTCCTGACATACCGATACCAATTACCAATTCCGGTTTCATAAAGTACTAGTATGCACTGAAGAAAGAAGCGATGGAACAAAAAAAAACTCCAGTTTCGTCTTGATTCATCATGCCTATACTAAAATTCATTGCATTGGCAAAAAAAAAAAAAAAAATACAAAAAGGAAACCGCCTACTAATTTTTGACGTCAGTTCGTAAAGCAACAAGAACAAGTTACACCTAGAAGAAAAAGTTAATTAAGAAAAGAAATAACATACCTGTTGTATCACTGACCCACCCGCTGTTGAAATCACGAATCACTTGTTATTGGAATCATCAACCCGCCCACTGTTGAGATCATGAGCCGTCCACTGTCGAAATCATTAACCCACCGCCATTAAAACGATCAACCAACGAAAGGAAACTCCAACAACGAAGACTTCAACTATTCTAATTGTGGTGACTCCAATAACGATAAAATCACAAAAAAAGGTTAGACTAAAAAAAAAAACAAGTGAAACAAGAAAGCAGAAAGGAAAATTCTTACCAAACATCCATTTCATTTTTGGCGCTTCAACGATAACAGCATCAACTATTCCAACTACGACAATGCTGATAACAATGAACAAAAAAAAT